CTGAACTGTCCTGGACTATCACTCCTTGATTATCACTCAAACGCAAACGATTCCCACAAAGCGATTCCACAAATTCCGTAATAAATCCCACTTTTTATTCAACGTGAAACGGAGATAGACACATACTAATCGGATGCTTCACCAGTAGTATCCAAAGCTTCAGTGGTATGGGCCATTGGATCGAATCGGAAAAGCCGGACAGACAGAACTGAACGACGTTAGCATAGCTGATCGGCAGGCTTTGTAAAACGACTGTTCAGCCACGGGAGGCCCAACGCTTCAGTGTTCACGCACTGATCGAAATGTCTGTAGATCGCGATTCCCCACTGTGGTCTGTTCAAATGCGGAATGCTGATGTCCCCCAACAAACCTGTCATTATTTATAGCTTGGTGCCATTGATACGAAGAAATCTTAATTGAAAGTTCACTGAGCACCCGAATGACATGATTCCAACTTGGATGTATCAAACGGGGGAGGAGCGGAATCAAGACGTAAAGAATGATCGGAGAAAGAAAGGGGCCGTGGCTAGTGATGTAGTGAGAATGTCACCTCAGTGAATACGGCGAGGATGTAACGGACTACGCTGTTGTCCACACACTCAATCGCCAGACCGCCAATAACGCTAATCATGCCCTGTTAGAATGTCGTCGCTTTTCCACCGTTTTATTGGGCGTCGATGCTCTTTATGGAAATTTGTCTACCAAAATACTCATTGTAATATGAAGAGACTTAGGAATTTACGAATTCAGGTTGTCCCCTGAGTGAACTCAGTNAGAAGTTTCAGTCAAAGGCTCAAGGTGGGGCACCTCATCCTAACCCCCTTCCTCGACAGGAAGTATCACTTGCCCGCTCAGTTCAGCGTCCACCAATGTCCCTCCCAAGCCTTTCTAACCACACAAACAATCGTGGCTGGATCACTTGACTGTCAGTTATCTGACCGAAGGGCCTTTTAGTCCTCGCTGCCTACTAGCAGTAAACAAAATAAAACCATTCATAATCCACGAACGAGATGCTCTTTATATAGGAGCTTTTAACCTCCGTACTCTATGTCAAAATGGCAAACAGGCAATGCTTGCTGAGACCATATATTCCTTTGAAATCGATGTAGGCTGTGTCTCCGAAACAGGCACACAGGAACCAAGCGTGGTTATGAATCTCAGAACGCCAAGAATGAAATCAGCCCTTTCACATTTCTCCCTCGTGTCTTCAGCGAGGCCTCGTGGGATACGTGACGTCATTGGCATGTCTGGCGATTAAGTGTGTGGNACCAATGTCCCTCCCAAGCCTTTCTAACCACACAAACAATCGTGGCTGGATTACTTGACTGTCAGTTATCGGACCGAAGGGCCTTTTGGTCCTCGCTGCCTACTAGCAGTAAACAAAATAAAACCATTCATAATCCACGAACGAGATGCTTTTTATATAGGAGCTTTTAACCTCCGTACTCTATGTCAAAATGGCAAACAGGCAATGCTTGCTGAGACCATATATTCCCTTGAAATCGATGTAGGCTGTGTCTCCGAAACACGCACACAGGAACCAAGCGTGGTTATGAATCTCAGAACGCCAAGAATGAAATCAGCCCTTTCACATTTCTCCCTCGTGTGTTCAGCGATGCCTCGTGGGATATGTGACGTGGGAGTTGCACTCAGCCCCAGAGCTGAACGCAATTTTGTGGATTGGATCCCGGTGAACAGTCATCTCTGCGCCGTCCGGTTATCTAGTTCAATCAAGCTCAAAGCATCTCGGCATAAAAGCGGTGCATTTTTGACGTGTCGGCTTGAGCCCAAATAGACTGCAGTTCTGATGCGGAGAAGGATACTTTCTATCGAGATATTTCCCCCTATCATTACTGTCCGAGTTGTGAAGTACAGCTTTCACCATTGGAATTTGCGAACCGCCAACCTTCCGATCAGTGGTTGAGTGCTAAGCTTTTTGGCCTCCTGCGACTGAAGGGAAATCTTACTTAGACTACAAATAAACTACCACATAATGTCAAATGTGAAGGATGGGCGGTGCCATAGGCTCTCTGTCCCGTCCTCTGTTCCCGTGTCCCCATGTCTTTCAATCGACCCACGCAGTTTGAAGCGTAATCAGCGAACTGGGTTAGATGAATGCTTCCCAGCTATGCTCAAATATCAAGAGGAATGTTTGTGTTCATCTTTGACTACTTCGTCGTACGTACTTGAGTAAAAGCATGTTTACGAGAGACGTTGAACGAATCGTTTGTTACAGGTTTTTGGGAAATCACCCGATCCGAATGTCCCATGTCTCACAACTGTCCAAAACTCGGCTAATGATTCCACTAACATTGAGACGCGTATCGCTGCTCAACAACCGAGTTTCTCTTCCTATTTTAACGAGCCTCCGACTCTGGTCAGAATGGAATACCCCTTGAAATTTAAACTATGGTGAGATAGGGGCGTACAGTAATTTGTTTAATTGCATAATAAGGCCCAAAATCTTGTCCCGGGATGAACAGGTAACTTCAGCTGACTGTTTCCAAGTCCACTATTACAGAGTCTTTAAGATGTTTTGATTTCCGAATAAATTTAGACAAGTCATTGAGCGAAACAGGGCGTCACAAAATCTCGTCTGTCGGAATCAGTGGATAACGGAATAAAATGAAACAAAATGTAGTACTCGGGGCATCGTTCACTGTAAAATGTCTGACCTAGAAAACCGGCGTGAGAGCGACTCGCCGAGTTCACATTACAGGTTTGAATTGATTGATCAATATTGCCCTTACGACTGCCGGTCTCTATGCGAGATCTATGCGTGCTTTAACTCCGAACGGAGGGCAAAGTTCACCGATGTGGTGCAGCCTCGACCAGAGGCCTGGTAAGCGGTCAGTTGACTTCCAACTCTTTTCAATTTAGATTGGAACCAGGGGACAGTTTACCGATTCGTTTGAACAGGTGATCTTGTGTTCGCGTCCCTAGCCTTCGCTCAGTTCTCCTGGTGTGCGTATCCTCACAAAATCAGCTGGATTGGTGAATGGGGTGAGTAGTTGACAAAGTGAATGTTTCGGTATTGATGAGAGGCCTCATGACGAGGGCTTCGTTTGCATGCCTTAACGGTCAACTGTACCGCAGGGTATGTTCGCCGAAGGGTTACGGTTAAAGGACAGTATAAAGGGAGTTCTTCGGTCGATGAAAGTTCATCCCTCCTTCGTTCAGCTTAGCTTTATTTCGGTGTCAGCTGCCATGCCACTCGAAGGAAGCACGAGTGCCGGAAAACTCCCAGGTTGCTCGAACGTAGACAAGGGAAGTCGAGAGGTAGATGTCGGATTTGAACGAAGGACGTTTCGTTTAGTCAATTCGCGGCCTAACTACTCGAAATATTCTTGCTCATCCTTGTGACACAAGGATAGCAGATTGCAGACTTACTTTCATCAGACGCGCACATTTCAGTTGGCAGCACACCTGGATGACGTCTCTCTCCGTGTAGAAAAGACTCACCAAAATGGATATTTTGCGCTCGATCCGGATGTTTCATGTCGCACAAATGTCCAAAACTCGGATTCTGATTCCAGTTAAATTGTGCCGCTTATCTTCAACAGTTGAGACCCACCACGAATATTTCCGTCCTGAGGTGGGGTGAGCTGACTGCAGCACAACGCGTACCGCTGAAGGATTAGAATTATTGTCTCGGAAATTCCTCGGTGCGGTTAGTCTACTTGAGTAATTCAGTGAGGATGCTGTCTTCACAATAGGGTTGGAAGGCGAGCGCAACTTTTGCCCCGTTTGGATTTCACCGATCTGCCAATCTGTTATATCTGACTGCTGATCGTGTTCCTAGTACCGGAGAAAAAGACTCACCGACAAGGAACACAAAAGCTTCATTCTGAACGAGCGAGTGCAAGAGCGTGTGTGAGAAAATACAACGGCCTGGAGCTGTTTTCACAGGAGGGACACTGTCTGAACTTGGTTCAACGCTGACTAACCCTGTGTGGCTCTGGCACGAGATTGTGGCACATTGCGTATTGAGGGAGTGGCATCTGATCAGCATCTAGTGGAGTTGAGGGTCTCAGTAGATTTTGGGCATTCAGTGGTTACTTTCAGGAGCCCGACCTTCTTGATAACCAAATTTCCAACAATCCGATTTCGTGATTGAACAGTAAATTACGAGTTAATTACTCATCCGTAAACTGAGATGGCATTAGTATGGGATTCAAAAATATATCTCGTCCCAGAAGTCGCTAAGCTAAGGCCGACATTTAAAGCATGCGACTGTTTTGCCAGGCCAATCATTTTGGTGGGAATTTTGTCGAGAACCGAATCTAATCTGTGCAGGGAATTCAAGAAACACTGTACAGCTTATTGGGAGCGTCATCAGAGAAATTCCAGAGAGTCTCGAACCCTGGATTTCTTACTTAGTAGTTTGAATACTTAGCCGTTCAGTCACGAGCACTTGGCTGATCTGCAGTGTGATTAACTCAAATGTAGATGGGATACAGTGAAGCTCATCCTCCACTCAGAGGATCCACATCACGCGGTTAGACATTCTGACTGTCCCCTCGAGAAACGACTTCCCAAAGGGGGCTTCACTCATCAGGAGAATTTTATTATTTATCCGAGGTACTTATAGAGCGTTAGTAGTGTGTTGATTCAAGAGTTCAGTCGAGTTCAGCGAGTCTATGCTACCAACAGGCCATTATTTTCGGTTTTATTCTCAAGGCAGTACTCATCATATCGAATAGAATGGGACGGAATCCTGAATCTGATAAGCTTGGAACAGCGTTCACACACGAAGAGGAATAACCCGAAGCGATCGTTTCAAGAGGCACATTGCATTCAGAAACAGGGGCGGTAGCAGTACACAAAAATGAAGATAAAGCTATTCGCGAAGAACACTCGAGTTTGACGGGAGACTCAGTTTAATCCCAGGTGAATCCCTCTAATAGGATTTTGTTTGGTCTCCAGTTAAAACCAAATTAGTTTGTAAATGTGTGTAGTTCGCAAACTTCATATAAGTTGCATTTATTTAGACGATACGTTTTACGAAATCGCACATATCTGGCAGGACGAAGACGGTCTAAACAGGTCGTGGGGTGTCGAGAGTATTCAGTAACATTATGAATAGTGTATTACGTCTATATGAAATGAGTTTAGGTTTTCCGGAAGTAGCCGAGTAAAGCTTTCGGATCTTTTGATCATGCAATTTAAAAGAGGACTGCGAAATATACGCACACGATTTGCGATCCCGGTAAATTTCACGGCCTGACGGACGTCAAACAGATTTCGTGTTGTTTCCTACACCTATTAACTACAAATGAGCGTGTTGAAACGTTGACCCAGTCTCATTACGTCACTTTATTGACCTTGGTGGGATATCAACACATCGAGGTTCCACGGTCGTTTTGTTATCCAAACCCCTACCGCGTCTGCTCAGAAATGGAGACCAACCAACCCTTCCACTCGATTCTCCTTCGCTTTAGATAGCGCAGACCACTCCAAGAATTCTGAACAAGGAACACATTGCAATCTCCAAGAAGGAAACCGCGAAGACATGATGAAGGAGCTTATCAACGTCAACATCCGCGGAGAATCACGTCGCAATTTCCCTACACAGTGGATGTCATACCTCCCTCCGTTTCCGATCACCACTGAGGTTAGAATTGCACAGAAGCTTGAGTAGAAC